TAGTAAAGTGCATAAAGCACCTATTAGGGCCATGAGTACATACCAGCCTGATTTCTGTTGGGATATTCATGAAGAAATTATAGTACAGGTAAGAATTTGAGGTCATATTTATTTCCAGCATGCTCTTCCAGAAGAATACAACTGTCACTTGAGCTAAGAAGGACCAAGGCTCTCCTGCTGAAATAATTCTAGTGAATATAATGTGTTATTTAATTTGACAAGCAGAAAGAAGGGGCTCTGTTATTAAAGTTGTTGTAAACAGAAAGCAAAACCTACTTATCTTCCTACAAAAAGATACCCTGAATGAACCCAGAACTTCTTCAATCATGACTTGATTTAGAAGCCAGAAGGCTCCAGAACAATTCCTTACTAGAAGAGAATGAATGTCCATGAGCTTTGTCCCAAGCCCCTGTCTCTGAAGAGGATGATGTCCCACAGGTAGACTGCATCTATTTCTTAGAATCTCTTTTTGGCCAAGATGCAAACCATAAGGCAGGAGCAGTGGTTCTCAACTTGGAATGATTCCTATGTCTTAACTGAGCTCTGGGGCTCCTGGGTCATGCAGCCTGATTTCAGGAATCAGCTCTGCCTACCAGCAGTCTGGTACTAACCCCAGGATCTGCTTCACCTGCCGCTAGGTGGGCAACAGGCTCAGATTCATCAGGACCCTGTCTCTGGCCACCAGTGTGCCAGCACTAGTGCCAGGGCTCCCCAGGGATCTGCAATCACATACATAAAAATACAGTTAGCAACTCAGATAAAAAGAGGCAGCAGAGGAATATGTTCTAGAAGAAGGAACAGATAAAAACCTAGAAGATGAACTAAGTAAACTGATAGCCTACCTACATGAGAAAGACCTCAGAGTAATGATCATAAAGATGATCAAAGAACTTGGAAGAAGAATGGGTACACAGCACGAGGAGTTAGAAGTTTTTAAATGAGAAAACACAAAGAATAACCAGATGTGAAAAATACAGTAACTGAAATGAGAACTACAGTAGAAGGAATCAACAGTAGACTAAATGATACAGAAAAATAGATCACTGAGCTGGAAGACAGAATAGTGAAAACCACTGTCACTGAGCAGAAAAAAATGAAAAGAAATAAGGACAGTTTAAGAGACCTCTGGGACAACATCAAGCCCACTAATATTCACATTATAGGGGTCCCAGAAGGAGAAGAGTGAGAAAGTGCTTCAAAATAATTGAAGAGATAATAGCTGAAAACTTTCCTAACCTGAGAAATGAAAGTCATCCAAGTCTAGGAAGCACAGAATCTCATACAGGGTTAACCCAAAGAGGAACACACCAAGAATACTGTAATCAAAAATAAAATGACAAAAATTAAAGAGAGAATACTAAGAGCAGCAAGAGAAAAGTAACAAATTACATAGAATGACATTCCCACAAGGCTATCAGCTGAATTTCCAGTAGACTCTGCAGGTCAGATGGAAGTGACATGATATATTTAAAGGAATGAAAGAGAAAAACCTACAACCAGGAATAGTCTACCCAGCAAGGTTCTTATTCAGATTTGATGAAGAAATAAAAAACTTTACAGACAAGCAAAATCTAAGAGAATTCAGCACCATCAAAGCAGCCTTAACAATAAATGTTAAACGAACTTCTCTAGGCAAAAAAGAAAAGGCCACAATTACAAAAAAGAAAATTATGGAATGAAAGAGCTCACTGGCAAAGGTAAAGTAAAGTTAGGAAATCATTCACATACAAAGTTAGTAAAGGTAGGAAATCATCCATACAAAAAGATAGTAGGGAGATTAAGAGAGACAAGTAGTTACGATCATCTGTATCTACAGTAAGCAGTGAAGGGATACACAAAACAATCAGATATAAAACATGGGCTTCCCAGGTGGCACAATGTAAAGAACCCACCTGCTAATGCAGGAAATTCAAGAGACATGGGTTCGATTCCTGGGTCAGAAAGATCTCCTGGAGAGGGAAATAGCAACCCAAAAATCCAGTATTCTTGCCTGGAGAATTCCAAGGACAGAGAAGCCTGTTGGGTTACAGTCCATGAGGTTTAAAAGAGTCAGACATGACTGAGCTACTAAGCATGCACACATACACACACATGATATAAAAAACAGTAGTCATCAGGAGAGGAATGTGCAAACTCAGGTGTTTTTCTTAAATGCATTTGAAACTAAGAGATGAGCTCCTTAAAACAATCATGTATATACACAGACTGCTATATAAAAACCTCATGGTAACTGCAAACCAAAACTCTATAATAAATATACACACAACAAAGAAAAAGGAATACAAACATACACTAAAGATAGTCATATCAGAAGAGAATAGAACAAAAGAAAGAAAAAAAGCTACAAAACAAATCCATACTACACATAAAAAACAAACAACAAAGACCTATTGTAGAGCATAGGGAACTATATTCAATACCTTGTAATAACTTATAATGGAAAAGAATAGATGTATATATATATATATATAACTGAATAACTCTGCTGTACACGTGAAACACTGTAAATCAAATATATGTAAATAAAAAATCCAAAATAATTAACAAAAAGGCAGTGAGGATATACATATACATGATTACCTTAAATGTAAATGAACTCAATGCTCCAACCAAAAAATACAGACTGAATGGAAGAAAAACAAGACCATATATATGCTGCCTACAAGAGACTCATTTCAGATCTAGAGACACATACAGACTGAAAGTGAGAGGATGAAAAAAGGTATTTCATACATGTGGTAATCAAAAGAAAGCTAAAGTAGCAATATTGATAGCACCAGACAAAATAGACTTTAAAATACTGTTACAAGAGACAAAAAGAGACAGTATAATGATCAAGTGATCAATCCAAGAAAACATAACAATTGTAAATATATCTGCACCCAACATAGGAGCTCCTCAATACGTAAGGTAAAAATTAACTGACATAAAAGGAGAAATTGCAAGTAAGACAATACTAGTATGGAACTTTAATACCCCATTTACATCCAGACATAAAATCAGTAAGGAAACACAGACCTTGATAACACATTAGACTAAATGGACTTACTTGATACATTTAGAGTATTTCATATGAAAGCAGCAGAACATTCTTTTCAAGTGCACATGGAACATTCTCCAGGATAGGTCATATGCTGGGTCACAGAGCCAGTTTCAGTAAATTTAAGAAAACTGAAATCATATCAAGCATCTTTTCCAACCACTATGAGACTAAAAATCAACTATAAGAATAAACTGCAAAAAAACACAAACATGCGGAGGCTAAGCAATATGCTACTAAACAACCAATGGATTAGTGAAGAAATCAAACAGAAAATCAAAAAACCTAGGGACAAATGAAAACAAAAACACAACAATCCAAAACCTCTGGGATGCAGCAAAAACAGTTCTAAGAGGGAAGTTTTTAAGAAATATAAGCTTGCCTCAGGAAATAAGAAAATCTCAAATAAAAAAATTAACCTTACACCTAAAGCAACTAGAGAAAGAACAAACAAAACCCAAAGTTAGCAGAAGGAAATTACAAACATCAAAGCAGAAATAAATTAAACAAAGACTAAAAAAAACAACAACAGCAAAGATCAATGAAACTAAAAGCTGGTTTTTTGAAAAGATAAACAAAACTGATAAACCTTTAGCCAGACTCATTAGGGAAAAAAAAAAGTGAGAGGGCCTAAATCAATAAAATCAGAAATGAAAAGGGAGAAGTTACAGCCCACACCATAGAAATACAAAGGATCACAAGAGACTATTATGAAAAACCATATGCAAATAAAATGGGAACCTTGAAGAAATGGACAAATTCTTAGAAAGGTACAATCTCCCAAGAATGAACCAGGAAGAAATAGAAAATATTAACAGACCAATAACTAGTATTGAAATTGAATATTTTAAAAACTCCCAACAAATAAAAGTTTAGAACCAGATAGCTCCATGGGTGAGCTGTAGCAAACATTTAGAGAAGAGTTAACACCTCTCCTGCTGGAACTATTCCAAAAAATTGCAGAGAAAGGGATACTTCCTAACTCATTCTATGGGCTACCATCACCCTGATACCAAAACCAGACAAAGATACCAACAACACCAAAAAAATAACAGACAAGTATCACTGATGAACATAGATGCAAAAATCCTCAACTAAATACTAGAAAACCAAACCTAACAATAACTTAAAAGGCCCATACACCATGATCAAATGGGATTTATCCCAGGGATGCAAGGATTTTTCACCACCCACAAATCAATCAGTATGATACACCACATTAGCGAACTGAAGAACAAAAACCACATGATGATCTAAAACAGATGCAGAAAAAGCTTTTGATAAAATTTAATATTGGTTATGGTAAAAACTCTCCAAAAAGTGGGCACAGAAAGAACATACCTCAAAACAGTAAAGGCCATATATTAAAAAGCCCACAGCTAACATTATACTAAACAGTGAAAAGCTGAAAGCATTCCCTCTAAGATCAGGAAGAAGACAAGAATGCCCACTCTTGCCACTTTTATTCAACACAGTTTTGGAAGTCCTAGCCATGGCAATCAAAGAAGAAAAAGACATAAAAGGAATCCAAATTGGAAAGGAAGAAGAAATTGTTTGCAGATGACATGATAACCATACACAGAAAATCCTAAGGATGCCACCAGAAAAATTACTACAGTTCATCAGTGAACTGGATAAAGCTGTAGGACCAAAATTAACATACAGAAATCTGTTGCATTTCTATATGCTAACAAAAAAAATACAAGAAAGAGAAATTAATTTAGTTACTTTCTATAGCTAGGAGAGAAAAGCAAATCAGCTGACTTCAGAGTAACTGACAGCTCTTCACTAGGCACTACATAAGTGCATTGATAACACACTGATTTTCTAGCACTGTTTTTATTCCAGGTACTTGTCAAAAAGTAAATGTTTAGAAAAGTGGAAACTTTTAAATATGGCTGAAAGGTTTTAAATAGACTCAGAGGAACTGATTTTCCTTTAAAATAGATTGCTGAAAAATAGAAGCTGCTTACAACCCTAACTTCAGCACTCACGAGACAGTCTCTGGAATGTCATCTTCCTTTTTGAAGCGACCTGACCATATTAGAATCTTCTTCTCCCAGTCCGTAGGCTTGTGCAGTGGCACTCTGTGGCTGTAAGTGTCTATGAGAAAAACAAGAGAAGATATTTATATGAGACTCACTCCCAAATTTAGCAACAGAAAAATGCTATTTGTGCTTTTTAGCTATTCACCAAACAGAATCACTGAGAAATCTCAAGTTAATTAGAACTTTATTTGAATGGAATTTCTCAGGTTGCTTATATATTTCTTAAATGAGATTCAAAAATTTTGTAAGGATTGAGGTAAAATAAAAGCGTTATTTTCCAATATAAGCCCAAGCCATTGAAAGCTGAAAGAACACCATGAACAAAGATATAAAGATGAGAAGGATGAATTAAGAAGGGAACTGCACGGGAGCCTGTTTGACTTTGGTAGAATTTTAAGTCTGTGAGGTAAAATCAGATTATACAAGAACCTGAATGGCAGGCTAAGGGTTTTAGACCTGACTCAAGAACTATTGTACTTAGAAAGTTTAATCTGCACAGTGGCTGGAAAGAGAAAGGATAGGACAGAGTGGACAAGACCAAATAGGAGATTATAATACAAGCTATTACAATACAAGGGTGAGTTGTTATAGTCTCAGTTAGAGTTGTAACAGTGGGAAGAGAAACAAAAAGTCAATCTGAAAGAATTTGGAGATTGATTAAGATAAAGATGGATTCATGAAGAACCTCAAACTTGGATGATTAAAACAAAAGCAGTATTGTTAACCAAAATAAGGTGACTGAAAACAACCAGTCAGGAGAGGGAAAAGTACTAATGTCATTTTAGATCTTCTGGGTCAAATTTACGCCATCTGAGTAAGTTTCCTTAATGAGTTTGGAGTGGAGATAACCACTGGTGCAAAGAAAGAGCCAGTGAGGATGACAGACGCAGAAGAGCAGGGGCTGAGTGTTGGTGCACGACCCAGAAAGGACAAAGAGGCAGCAGAGGAAAATGGAGCAGCCCAAACACGCAGAACCACAGACTATAAAAGAGTCTTTCAAAGGAAGGGGAAGTCACTGAAGATGAGAAGCAGAAAAAGGGGATCACAGAATGTCAGAGTTACAAAGGACCTTGGAGATAATCTCATCTAACTTTCAGGTACTGCTGACATCTCTCTTGCAGACAGACCATCTCCTTGACTACGTCACCTTTGTTTATGCTGCACCTTTCACTTAATCAGAAGCCAACAGCAAGAAGAACAGAAAAGTCACCAGGGAAAAAAAATCCTTAAAGAACCAAAGGCAAGAAAAGACATTCAGAAGTACAGAAATAGTACCGCTGTAATCTTTTAGCACTTGGTACTTTCTCTATAGTTTATTTTTACTTTATGTACTACATACTCATTAAAGACAATTCAGAAAGTACAGACGTGAAAAAAGAAAAAGAGAAAAACCACGCTTAATTCTCCTCTCATAGTATGAGCACTATGTTTATTTTGGTATGTTTCCTAAATCTTATCACCATACATAGGCACATATATGTAATTTCTGTATGTACCATTTTTGGGCTTACACACAATGTAAATTTTTGTATCCTGCCTTGTTCATTAACATTATAACAAAAACTTTCCATGCCAGTATGTTGTAATTATAAGCACCATTTCCAACAGTTGCACAACTCATCAAGTAGATCTAATCTATAACCATTCCCAGATTATTTAACATTTAGACTAATTTCTCATTTTCCTTTATATGTGTATAAAAATATATATAGATATATATACATATATATAAATAAATGGGAACAGCTTTACATTCAAAGCTTTTTCCACATAAAGGGATTATTCCTTAGGATAGATCCCCAGAAGTGAAATACCAGGTCAAGGGGTATAAATACTTTTAACCTTTTAATAAATATTCTTTGACAACAGTTATTTTCCACCCACCAGTACCTATCTGGCCCTAGTGTAGGGCCCAGAAGAAGCAATTCCCATGAAGAAGCAATGAGCAAGTAGTTCCTGGGGCCATACAGTTTAAATATTGTGCTCCTTCTTTCCACAGTGCTGACAGTGACAGAACGTGGAGTTAGGGATAGGACTAAACATGGCTGAAGTTAATGTACAAGCCAGTGCGTAGCCCTAAGTATATTGTACCCAAATCTCATTTTTTGATCTGGTTCATCTTTGAGGCTGACCAATATTTACTTTGGTACATCTATCATCTACAGAAAGCTCTAGTCAAATCCTTGAGGTAAGAGATGAAAAATGACAAATGGGAAAAATGAAGAAATCACTGCCATATGTAAGCACAATTAATATAAGTACAACTTGGGAGGCCTGAACTACATGATAAGGAGCCCTGTGACCACCTCTCTTTTAGGTTCTTTTGATTCCAGGTTGTTCTAATCTTTGAGAGCTGCCTAGTCCATAACTGGAAAGACAAATAAAAACTTACGGGTTGGAGGCTTTGGACTTTCCTGGGGTTTGCTGCAAAATCCATTTGTTCTCTTCAAATCAGAGTTTCTGGTAAGCCTTAAAGATGAGAAAGCATCTCTTTCACATGACCTAAGACATCTTCCTAGTAAAGAGAAAAAAAAGTTTCAGATAAAGGAAATCTGATATCTTACAATGAAAAATGCCTGCAAAATACATATTTCATCCATAAAAATTAACTCACTTAAAAAATGAATATCCTACTCTATGTAAGATACATGTACTATATTTAAAGTGTTTAGTGCTATCTTAAAATATGCATGTTTTGCTGACTAGGAAATTAGGAATTTACAATATGTTTTATTGGCTTTAAGTTTTATAAAAGTATAAAACTTCTCACGTGTCTTATAACAGTAATGATTCTGCTATGAATCATTAGTGTTAGTATAACCCTCAGTGTTAGCAGGAACATTTTTAACCAATAATTAATCAGAATTCAAAGCAGAGACAGCCAGAAACAGTTCTGATGAGGATAAAAGGGGATAATTCTGAGTATGGGGGTGGGGAGTCATACAAGAGACTAGGGCTGATCCTCAGTCAAAGGATCATCACAAAAGAGCCCTAGGGCCCTAGGATGTGGAAGAAAGGGAGCACTACAGAAGAATGAAACAGAAAAGAAAGCTGGAAAGGCAGCAGTAATAAATCTGATCAAGATCCTGACGCTCCATGATGCTCTGCGTAACAAAGAAAGGGATACCCAAGATTTGGCTTTAATGTGACAAGAATGAGCCCTCACAGCTTTGTGCTTAAAACTTCACAGAATTCAAGCAGTTTTAAAAAGCTATTTGTTAGTGGATAAACAGTCTATACCTTTGAAGTTCCAGATACCTAACAGAGAGTCATTGTAGCTTCAGAGTTTGAAGCAGTAAGGGGAGAAAGAGAGGGAAGAGCAGTAAAATGTGTTTACAGCACAGGACCTCCCAAAGTTGGTAAGAACCATAATTACCTTGCTTTTTCTTTCTCCTGTTTAAGAAAATCTTTAAACATAGCAATCTTAAAGAAAAATCATTGTGGACTTCTCATGGGCACACGTTTATATTTGTGTAAAGATTTTTAAAAGAAAACTTTTATTGATACATAATTTCACATTAAAAATTCATCCTTTTAAATGTGTAAAACAAAGAATCACCTTCTGCTTCAATGTTCTGCTTGACAGGAATTAATGGGGGGGGGGGGGCAAAAGATGGAGGAGGGAGTTAGCTTTGCTGTCCACTAATAACTGGACACAGACTTCCTTAAATGCCTTTCACCAATAAGTTTGCCAGCTTTTGCTGAAGGGCTCTGTGTGCATTTGGGGGGCATGCTCTGGGAGTGCGTACAGAAGAAGCTGTTTGCATTGTATTACCTCTGAGTAAAGTTTTAAAGAAAAAAAAAAAGGCAAGCCCGCTAAGTGAGGGTTTCCATGGAGCAGACAGACCGACCAAATAGTAACAGTCCTCTGGCCTTAGGGGCTTGTGGAGCTCCAAATCCATTCGGCCTTTTTCAGTGTCTGCTATATTTTTCAGAGCTACATGATTTCAAGGTATTAGTTACAAAGTATTACTGTGAAGCCCAGAGGAGACAGGAATCAATTAACATTCCATGAGCCTTGCTGTTCTTACCATGACTAAGTCATTTTCTTGGACAAACACTACACAGATTGTCACAAGCCTCTGGTTATTACCTAGAGTTCTGAAAAGGTTGACTCTTAAGACTATGGTCATATTTTCATTGCTTTTATATAAGGATGAATTTTCAGAGGTCCTATTTTCAGAGTGAATTGTCAGATTCACTAACATACCTTAAGCTGGACCCTCTATTTGTATCAAGATTTGTGGTTGCCTGCAGTCTGATTTCTTTCACAAGAGGGCTCATTTATTTCAGTTTTCTAGGCAGTAGTCCCAGAAGGCTTTGCCTGGGTCTGAGTGACCACACTACCAGTGCCACCTAGTGACAGCACGTGTACACTGTAAGAAAAGTAGATAAAGTATAATTGATTTTAGTTTTTTTCTGCATTTTAAATGTTGATAATGTAGAATTTACTTCAACAAGGCTGATTTAAAGGTTAAATGGAAAATACACGTGAGAGCATTTGGCAAGATGCTTGAAACATGGCAGGTACTCTAAACATTAAGTTTGTTTCCTTAAACACTAATCAAAACATTTCCAGAGCACTTCAATTTTATCCCTAAGATGGTCAGAATTTCTGACCAAGGTAGTTTTAAATTGTTATCAGGGCACAAATAAATTCCATGAATCTCTTCTAAAGTTCTTCATAGCTTTCAAGATTAAAACAAAAATATTTAATGCTGTGATTCTCAAACTTCAGGATGCATCAGAACCACCCGAATGGCTCAGTAAAATGCCAATCATAGGCACACCTATCTCCAGTTTTAGAAACAGTTTGGGGTTGAATCTGCATTTCTAACAAGCTCTTAGGTGAAGCTTCTACTGCTGCTTTGAAACCACACTTTGAGAACTACTGTTTTTTTTTTTTTTAAGCTATGGCAAAAAACATATAACACAAAATTTACTATTTTAACCACTTTTAAGTGTACAGTGCTATGGCATTAAGTACACTCACATTGTTTTGCCACCATCATCACCATCTGGGGCTTCCCTGCTGGCTCAGTGGTAAAGAATTTGCCCTCCAGTGTAGGAGACAGGGGTTTGATCCCTGGGTCAGGAAGATCCACTGGAGGAGGAAATGGCAACCGACCCCTGTATTGTTGCCTGGGAAATCCCATGGGCAGAAGAGCCTGGCAGGCTGCAGTCCATGGGGTTCACAGAGAATTGGACATGACTGAGCACGCACACACCACCACCATCCATCTTCAGGACTTTTTCATGTTCCCCAGAGGACCACTAGTTTAATGTGACCTATAAGGTCCCTTCCCACACCATCCTGTCCTATCCCCTTCTGGCAGGTACCGAGACAGAAAGGAACCAAGTTAACTGACAATGAGCTCTACTGTCTAAAGACGAAACAGAAAAAGAACCAATAATTATCTCCTTAGGTATCATCCTTTCCCATCCCTCTTAATTAGAACAGAGTAAGTTTAGAAAAACAGAACAGAGACAGTTTAGAAGAATAAAAGACAAACTGCCGCTTAGCTCTTCAGTTCAGTTCAGTCCAGTCGCTCAGTCGTGTCCAACTCTTTGCAACCCCATGAACCACAGCATGCCAGGTGTCCCTGTCCATCACCAACTCCTGGAGTCCACCCAAACCCATGTCCATCTCATCCTCTGTCATCCCCTTCTCCTCCTGCCCTCAATCTTTCCCAGCATCAGGGTCTTTTCAAAAGAGTCAGGTCTTAGCATCAGGTGGCCAAAGTATTGAAACTTCAGCTTCAGCATCAGTCCTTCCAATGAATATTTAGGACTGATTTCCTTTAGGATGGACTGGTTGGATCTCCTTGCAGTCCAAGGGACTCTCAAGAGTCTTCAGTCCAAAAGCATCAATTCTTCTGCACTCAGCTTTCTTTATAGTCCAACTCTCACATCCATACATGACTACTGGAAAAACGATAGCCTTGACTAGACAGACCTTTGTTGACAAAGTAATGTCTCTGCTTTTTAATATGCTGTCTAGGTTGGTCATAACTTTCCTTCCAAGGAGTAAGCGTCTTTTAATTTCATGGCTGCAATCACCATCTGCAGTGATTTTGGAGCCCCCCAAAACAAAGTCAGTTCAGGTTAAAGCAAAAATGTTACCAAGTACACCTACTTACTGTAAGTCACACAAACACACGTTTGGAGACAGTTATTCATTCAACAAATGTACTAGTCAGGTATTGTTCTAGGTAATATAAAAAACAGATAAAACTTTATGCCAGATGCGCTTATATTCTACTGGAGGAAGGGGGGAAAAAATATATATATATATATATAGTTAGATAGAAAATGCCAGAGAGAAAAAATAAAGGGGAAACAAAGTGTTTGTGTGCTTAAAATGTGGTGTGTGTGAGATTTTACATAGGGCAGTAAGAGAAGTTCTCTATGAGAATGCCATGAAGGAAGTCAGGGAGCTAGCATGCAGGTAGATACTCCAAACAGAAACAGTAGTAAGTCCAAAGGCCCTGAAGTGGTTCCAAGGACTCAACGAGGCGGCCAGCATGGCCAGAATAGAGGAATAATGAAAAGAGAGCAGGCCTTGGGGTTACAGACACACCTGGGATGGAGGTGAAGAACAGGGACTCATGAGAGGTTTACCTAGGTCAGAAACTATCTCCCAACCTTTTGTTACTACAACTTCACATTGGATGCCAGTAATTTTTCTCTCCCTAAGGTATAAATGGTATTAAAGCATAAATAAACATAATATTATACAACTAGAAACAACAGACTATTGGAAAAAATAATTTTAAAAAAACCCAGCATCACTTAAAAAAATATGTGAAGTCTTGATGTGATTTTGGTACTTATTTTGCAACTACAATAAAATTGAAGCATAAAAGTTTTAGTATAATTATTAAGACTACTTTTCTATCTCAAAGAGATAAGAATTTATTGCCCCAGACATCCAAGCCAAAAATTTTCCATCCTCTGGTGGATCACAATTAAAAACAAACAAAAAACCCAAAAGAAAAACAGTTCCTTAACCCTCTGGCTTCACTAGCAGCCTGTCCCTGGCTGACCAAACTGTGTCCCCAGGGCCTTAGCAGAAAGTGAAGCCTCATTGTGCCTGGAAAGCTCTGACTAGCAAATGGCTTGTTAATCTTAAGAGTAGCTGTCCTTAAGTTTTAGTATGCAACACAATCACCCAGAGGACTTCTAACACATTCTGCCAGACCCCGTTTCCAGAGTTTCTGATTCAGTAAGTGTATGAGGAGTCTGAGAATTTGCATTTCCGACAATTTCCCAGGTGATGCCAATCCTGTTGGTCTGGGGGTCCACAATTTGTAAATCAGTGCATTAGAGTTATTACTGCTCCCTGGAGGCTTTAGTGGGTCAGCCTCAATGAGTCTGATTCAAGTACTGACTTCTGTCCTGTTGTCCTTTCCTTTCATTTCAACCCCATGATGGGCAGTGCAGAGCAGTGGGCATGCTTTTTTCTTCCCCCTCAGAATCATTCAAGACTCTCCTGGAGATAACGGTCAATGATGT